GGCTAACGAAGCGCTCGCCCTGGCGGCTATATCAGCGCCAACAACACCAACACCACCACCACCAGCATTGCTGCTGTTGACACCAACCTCAACTACGCCAACGACGCCAACGACGGCATCGACGCGCTTACCGGTAGAGGCGCCAGCAACATCAACGCCCCCCGTCGAACTGCGTTTGGCAGTGACGACAGCGCCACAAATTGAAGAAGTGGCAAGTTCACACCAGCAGGCAGCAACAGCTGGTGTAAAGCAGGGGGAGGTGTTAGAGGAAATTCTCCCCGTCGAAGCGGAGTTGGTGTCGGCGCAAAAAGCTGCAGCTACAGGCGACAATAGCACAAGTGATATTGCGCCAGTTGTTGTTGCTCCACAGCAGTGCACAACGCAGCAGAATACGACTGTAGCAACAGCAGCTGTGCCAACAACAACACCAACACCAACACCAACGGCAACTCATACGGCTACTAGTAGCCCTCTTACGAACGGCAATAATAATAGTCTGCGCCGTAAGAACGGCAACTTTAAAGAAAGTCCAAAAGACGACGTTACCACCACCGCTTTAACTAAAGGCTTGTCTAACCATTATACCCTTGGTCGCAGCAGTAAGCCGAAAGTTAATTTGAAAATGCGCTTCAAGGTTGCCAAACGTATTTGTCAGCGTCGCTTGCGTCCGAAGGCTGTCGATGAAAATTATCCACAACCGCAGTAAGTTTATTGAGAAAATGCTATATATGTACTAACATGTAACAATTTTTAAGAGATTTATTGTTAACCTTTTCTGATTGGTTTTGGAAAATATCATATATATAAGGATTGGGTATTTTTGTGATTACTGAGTTCATTCTGCACCTTATTAAATTTAATACATTAATCCCAAATTACATCAAATGTACTGGGTGCAAATATTGTACTTGAGAGTTATAGAAACTTATAACTGAGTGCACCCATTTCTGATTACCGGTACATTTTAATAGAATTCGGTACTTTTAAAAACCTTCGACACTTAAAACTAAGTACTTTGAATCCATCCTGTTTTATAAGAGTGATGGTTGAAACAGAGTACAATTTGAGTACTGTGATCTTCTTTTTAGTTCTGAGTACTTTTGAGTTCTTTTGTGATTACTGAGTACTTTGTAGAACTCAGTAGCGATACTTAAAAAAAATCGGGTCCTGTCGATCCTTTTGAGAATCGAGTACTTTTGGTATCAATTCTACCCAACACTAGTTATGATTATAGCTTACATGGTTTACATAGGTTAAGTAGCAGAAGTGAGCTTCTGAGGGGAAATATAAATTTCGTGAAAAATTTATCCCAAGAACTCGACGGGGAAGAATCCCTTTTTTAAAAGAAAACAATTGAGTGCGTGTAGTACTTATGCGCGGAATAAGTGAAAATTAATTGAACAAATTCCAGTAAGAAGGTGGTTTTCTATATATTTTTCCGATGTACAGTACTTTCTGGATATAAAAGCCCAGCAAAATGCTCAAATTTCAAATACTATATCCTTATACGAACAACCCGCCTACTGAAACTTTTGGACTTATGTAAAAAAAAACGTTAATGAAACAAGCGCTGTTATAGAAAAAACCTGCATACAATACGAATTATGTATGTAAATTAGGGTGGCCCAAACAACAAAGTATACAATTTTAAGCCTCAACTCTTAGGATTTTTCTAAATGGATGAAAAGAATACCCATATTTTTTTGTTTAAAAAATTATATTTAGAACTGCTTCAAAGCCCATAAAGTTTTCCATGTATTTTATATAGGAAACAACACTTTTCCGTAGAAGTGGTATAGAATTTGAAAATCTATATTTTTTCATCGTAAAACTCTGTTTCTCTTCAAGCAGGGATCACACGATTTGAACATTTGTACAGATTTGTACATTTTCACAGGTACAGAGTGGTGCTTCTATTTGAAAATATAATCATAACAGCACTTGTAGTCACACAGCTTGGTGTCTCAAATCGTAAGCATTAATGACCTCAGTGTGAGTATTCGTCCTTCGGCAAGTTTCAATGTTCTCTATCTAAATTACTTTTATTTTCACCAACCTCTCTATTTAATAATCATATCAGCAAGTACCTTCAATATATGTACCTATCTACAAGTACATAACTTTCATAAGTCAAACTTTTTCATTGCAAATGAAAGTCTACGTGACAGTTTACAAATATTTGAAAGACAATTGCACAGATTCTTAAACAATCTAAATATATACGATTACATACTCACATATGTAATAGCATATACGCAAAATTTATTCTTCCACTAACATACATATATACGAGTACACATGTATTTATGTACACTTTTGTCGATACCTTACAGAGATCTGCATTTTTAAGTCATTGGTTGACTAAAACTTCGTATTAGTGGATATAAGTCAATGAAGTTAATATCCTCCAATAATCGATACATGGCATACAAACCGATAGTATTTACAATGAGTAGGTTCTCTGTTGATATAGACCGAATACTTAAATGAGTCACAGCACCAAAAAAACATCAAGAGTTCAGTGGAATGACTTAAGTACTTTGAGTTTTTTAGTTTAGCTTTCTCGATATTTGAGTTCAGGAATATACATGACAACAAAACATATCGTCGCTTGACCCGCAATACCTCACATGCAGTAAAGGCGATACCATATATGTATAAGATAGTCCGAAAATTTCATAAAAGTTTTGAATAGTTTTGTAACAGAAACTTACTGAATAATAGCTTCTTCTATAATTACACTGGTTTACCACAAAAAAAAATATTTATGGATGCCACTCTTCTCCTCAAACTTCAAACCTAACTTGATTTTCGGAATAACCGAGCAATCCTTCTTAAAAATTGGATAGTGGCATACCGTGAACAGAGGAAAAACCAAAATTTGCGATCTAGTGTTATTCATCATTAAATTTGTGAAGTGGTGAAATATTGAGACAGGGTGACGAGAATGATTTTTTTTTTGCGCGACCATATGCATGGTTAAGAAATTCTTGATTCACAAGTCGATATACAACATTTTTCTCAAACAATTTTTCCAAGATTTCAATTTTTAGTTGAATAAAGTTTGAGTTCAAATTGATATCCAAGCTTTTCTTAGATAGAAAACTCAAATTACTTTTTATTCAAAAATGTACCACCCTTTTTTTGAAGAAAGGGTTAGGAATTAGTCATAGTATTTTTTAGAATTATTAAGAGTATGCAATTGCACCAATTGTTATGGCTCATGACTTAAGTATGCTATGTAATTTCGTTAGTATTCATTGCAGATCTCTGATTCCTTACGCCCACACCATTAAGTTACAAATTTACGCAGATTTTCAACTAAGTGAACGCAATTTAAATATAACTTTCACAAAACCAAATTAGATTCGTTTATCATTATTTATCACCAGAGTGACAGTCATCATATCATAGCTTGTCTGCCAGTTTCGTTGAGGCACTCACTGCATGGCTGGCTCACACAGGCCGGCTGGTTAGTGGATTACCTGCCTTACTTGGAGGCTGAATGGGGCATTCGCATGGCGCTGCGTCGATTATATGTACATAGAAGAAGAATAGCAGAAGAAAATGTCGCTGCGTCGTTTTATTGAAATTCTAAACTGAGCTTGAAAATAATAAAAATAAATATAATTTATCAGACACTAAATAAATTTTGCAGACGCACAACAACTTTGCGGTTGCGGGTGTGTGTGTGTGTGTGTGGGTAAGCGGTCCATTAGTAGCGCTTACTTAGGTGGACGACCAGTCAGTCACGCAGTTTGAGACTTGGAGAACAATTCTGAGCAATTCACTTCACTTTCAAAACGCACAAACTTTTTGCACATCTGCACAACGGTGTTGTTGCGCCAATTTGCATTTGTTGTTTTTGTAGTTTTGCTGTAGTTTTGCATGCTACGGGTGGTTGTGTATTGTTTTACTTTAAATCTGATATTGTCTCTTCGACTGGCATTGCTTGCCCGGCTTTCCTTCTAAGCGGATTTCTTTCGTTTATTTTTTCCTCTCCTTTTCATTGCTAATTTTGTACTTATCTACTTGCTACTATTTATTATCATCCACACGCATGATGAATTTAAATTATTTAAACTGTTCACGGTTCCTTAATTCGTGGATCAAAGGTTATTTAATTTCGCATCTTGTTTCCGAGATTAATTTTTTTTTTGCTTTTTGTTTGTATGTATTTGTGAAAAACAATAAATAAATTTTTAAATTGGGTTGAAAAAAATGTTAAAATATGTCCTTTTTATTGACATTTGCCTTAAACTTTTCCGCCAAATACCAAAAAAAAAACCTTTTAGAGGTATTTATAAATGGTCAGTATTATTTTCCCACAAGAAGATTATTTAAAAAACATGATTTTCCATTGATTGCCGCAAAATTTCCCACACTGAAAAAAACATAGGAATAAAAACTTGTAAAAATTGTTGGAATTTTTTTATACAATACTTTCAACTGATCTCAGAAGATTCTAAAAATTTCGAAAAGGTTTTTATTTAAAGATAAGGATTTAAAAATTTTGGAAAACTCTAAATAGCGCTATGTTAGAAATTTTATATAAACTGAGATTATTTTAAATTTTGTTTGCAAAAAAAAAATTTTTCAAAGTTCAGAAATTTATATCTTAAAAAACACCTTGAAAGTTTCAGTATATTTTTAGATCAGTTGGAGGTGTATAGGAAATTGAGCAAAAAAGTCATGTTTCTAGATTTTGCGGTTTTTTTAATTAAACAAATTCTGTATTTTTTTAATTTTCGATATTTTTTTAAATATATTTTTTATATAGCCCGATAAAATATTACCTTCAAAAGTAGACCAGCGCTATTCGTGTAATGATAATAGTTATTGAGAGATTTAAACAAATTGCAAAATACGGGAAATCGTGAAATTTTGAATTTTTTTTAATTTTTTTTTAATTTAGCAGAAGTTCGTTAAATGATTAAATAAAAATTCTGACTAAAATTTAGTCTAATCAAAAACGTGCGATACCAATCATTAGTCGATACGACAGGGATTGACCCATGTACATAAGTATGTATTAGACTGACCCAATGTTGCTCTGAAATATTAGTAGACAAAAATTAACAAAACGGAGACTCGCAACGGATTAGTATTTGAATTTCGCCACCAGACTTGGTCAGATGAGTTGTTGCAAGTATTCGAAGGTTTTTAGCTATCAGCCTCAAAAAAAAATAACGACAATGAAAAAGATTACGTATTCCCTGGAAATTTTTTCCTTAATTTATGTATCATTTGTACTTTCATAACGTCGTAGTTTGTCTCAGCATTTTTTCTACATAATTGCATTTTTTTATCTGCACATACTTATCAGAATAGTCTGCATTATAATTGTCTTAGCACGCATACATACATATACATACATACATATGTGTGACTGCTTATCCAGACTATTTGTTTGTTTCTTCATACATTTATTTTGCACTTAGCGCCAGTGAAATATTTTTTTTTTAACTTTTTGTGCTGCATGCACTCTTATAATGCACATTAATACAAGCACACGCACAAGCACATGCATATGCATATTTACATATGTATTTGTTTGTATGTTGCATCAGCCGCCTTGTTGCCCTTGCTTTGGTTGCATGGCAAGGACGTTGCTATTTTTATACATACATAAGTGCCTGCTTACTTTACTTCTCCGAGTAAAACGTTCTCGGCTTTTCACGTTGAGCCTTTGATAGTTGTAA